TGGTCTGGAAATTCAGCTCCAGTACCTCACTAAACTTTTCCCAAGAACCAGAGTTCGCAGCCTTAGAAACATTTTCGAATCACATTCGAGTTAAAGGTGTGGTGTTAATTTTATTTACAGTATATTTTCTTCACCAAGATTTGGGTGTTTCGTAAAAGCGCAGACGCAAAGCAACAAGCATCAACAATGAAATTATGAACCAGTAGCGTAACCGTGAGAAATACAAACAGTTCATGACGAGTCTTCACAAAAGCAACATTCACATCATTTTTCAGCTTTCGAAACTCATCGATAATGGAAAACAGACTCATAAGGCAATATTGTCACATAAATAAAAACTGTAAAACAACAAATACAGCCAAAAGTGTAGCAACAGAATCAAGCGAAAAGTACTGAAAATAGTTTGAAGAAAAGTTGACGTGCAGAAATAACCGGTTGTTCTTAGCATTCAGAAAATGACGCAGTGCCCAGTCGATCCAAAATACGACTTCACTTTTGTCTCCCACTGACTGTAAATTCGGTTTGCAATAATGAAACGAATGGAAAGATTTCAACATGCTTTTGTACACGGCGGCTGTTTTCCTATGAGAATAAGTAGTCATAATTTCTTTTGACAATATTGGAACTTAATAATCACATTGATAAAAAATAATTATATGGTATGCTCCTTAAAAATTAACACCGTTATAGGTACATTTACAAACTTGAAAATCTGGTTTTATTGTAAAGTTAATCAGTGCCTAGAAAAATGTTTCGAAAACGGTTTTCAGCGGCTACGACAGTAATCAGCATCGGAGTAATACTTCGACAGCAACGCAGACTCAACGCATGGCTGAGCTCGCAAGAATCGTTAATCGATGTACATTTGATTTCAGTCTTTCACAATATCAGCGATCGAGAGTGACACCATGGGACCTATCAACTGTCTTATGGTTCAGTGAATTTCAATGAATGACTACGGAAGTGTCGACAATGAAGAGAGGTTGCTGCGTCAGCAAAAAATCTAGCGATGCAACGAAATGAGAGGAAAGGAGACATGACCCTTTTCATGCCATGTGTTTGACCGAACTCTGCATCAGTTCCCTGTCGTGACTGGAGAGGTAATTATTTACCTCAGCATCACTTCGCTCTCCAAAAGCCGTTATTGAGCTGAAACTAAGAAACGATTACGGCCTTCGCACAACTGTGCAATACACTATTTCTGTAGTTGTGATAAATGTGATCGAAGTGATACGGTCAGTGTCTATGGTAAGCCGCTATGCCATATATTTGAAATAATGTTACATTAGAAAAAAATCAATCGTTTCCTTCGGTGTGATATTCCTACTTAAATCGCCGCAATCTTCCACATACTAAATTACCTGCAAATCGTTTAAGTGACATTA